AGTTAGGTGGCAAGCTAGGTAGCTAACTGGCTGACCAGCTAGCCATCTGGCTAGCTCGCTAGATAGCCACTTATCTGCGTCTTCAGCTAGCTTATTATCAGCCTTATTGCGCAGCTAGCTGTCGAGGTAGCTAGCTAGCTAGCTATCTAGACTCTCCTCCCTCTCTCAGTTGAGCTGGCTAGTTATCTAGCTAGCAGGTTAGCTAGCTAATTAGCTAGCTAGCCAGCTAGCTAGTAGACGTACTGTGGCTTTTTCCTCACCTTTCACCTGCGGCTCTTTGCTGCCTTGTAAATCGTCGAAGTGCCTCTTGAAGCTCGTCCTCCTTCTCTGTGCTGCTGCTGCTGCGGTTGCTGCTGCTGCTGCTGCTGCTGCTGCTGCTGCTGCTGCTGCTGTGCAGGCGCGCGTGGCTCGCGGCAGCCGCGCGGAGCTGGCGGTGAAGGTGTTTTGCCTGAGTCCTCGGGGTGGGCGGCGCGGTGCAGCGGTTGCAGCAGCTGCTTCTGCTGCTGCTGCTCCGGGCGCTGCAGCGGGAGCTCCTGCAGCAGCAGCAGCAGCAGCAGCAGCAGGAGGGCAGCGCCGCCTACGCCGCAGACTTGCCTTAGAACTGGCCCTTGCCAGAGCTGCCCCTGCAGATGTCTCAGCGCCTCTGTGGTCTCAAATGGCCCACGTGGCTTTGCCCCTAGACTTGGTGGAGACCAGCAGCAGCAGCAGCAGCAGCAGCACCTGCTGGCCCCAGTGGATCGTCTTCGAGAGATTCGCAGGTGCTGCTGCACGCCTTCTGCTGCTGCGACGACGGCTCCTGCTGCTCCTGTTCTTCCTTTGTTGTGGTTACTTGTGGTTGTTTTTTTTTGTTCATTTTATCTGTTCTTTTTGTTTTGTTTTTTAGTTTATTTGGTCTTGTTTATTTGCTGCTGGTCCGCATAGTGCTGAGGTTGGGAAGGTTCTGGTAGCGCTGCTGCTGCAGGCGGCTTCTCTTCATCCTTGAGCAGCAGCAGGTGGTGCTGCTGCTGTTGTTGCTGCTGCTGCTGCCCTTGCTGCTGCTGCTGCTGGAAGCGTTAGTGCACCGAGTGCATTTGCTGCTGCAGGGGACCTCTCCATGCTGCGGGGCCTATCCTGCGCCTCCGCCTCAGCAAAGCTCTCCGCGACCAAGCAAATGCTTCTGTAAGCAGCTGTGTATCCACGTAGCTAGCCAGCTAGCTGGCTAGCTAGCTAGCTAGCTGGCTACCTAGCTAGCTAGCTGGCTACCTAGATGGCTGCCCATAGAGCTAGCTAGCTAGGCAGATAGGTGTACATGTAGCTTGTTATTTAGCTAGGCATTTAGCTAGGTATTCAGCAAAGCACTTAGCTAGCTTCTTAGCTAGCTAGCT